ACTTGCCCTTTATCCCCATGTTGTTGAGAGTTTTTATCATGAATGGATGTTGAATTTTGTCAAATGCTTTTTCAGCACATATGGAGATGATCATGTGGTTTTTGTCCTTCTTTTTGTTGATGTGGTGGATGATGTTTATGGATTTTCGAATGTTGTACCATCCTTGCATCCCTGAGATGAATCCCACTTGATCATGGTGTATGATCTTTTTGATGTATTTTTGAATTTGGTTTGCTAATATTTTGTTGAGTATTTTTGCATCTGTGTTCATCAGGGATATTGGTCGGTAATTTTCTTTTTTTGTCATGTCTTTGCCTGGTTTTGGTATTAGAGTGATGCTGGCCTCATATAATGAGTTTGGAAGTATTCCCTCCTCTTCTACTCTTTGGAAAACTTTAAGGAGGATGGGTATTAGGTCTTCACTAAATGTTTGATAAAATTCAGGGGTGAAGGCTTTTGGTCAAGGGGTTTTGTTCTTAGGTAGTTTTTTGATTACCAGTTCGCTTTTGTTGCTAGTAATTGGTCTGTTCAGATTTTCTGTTTCTTCCTTGGTCAGACTTGGAAGGTTGTATTTTTTTAGAAAGTTGTCCATTTCTTCTAGGTTTAGCATGTAATTTTTCATAGTATTCTCTAGTAATTCTTTGTATTTCTGTGGTGTCCATAGTGATTTTTTCCTTCTCATTTCTGTTTCTGTTTATGTGTCTAGACTCTCTTTTTTTTCTTGATAAGTCTAGCTAGAGGTTCATCTATTTTGTTTATTTTCTCAAAGAACCAGCTCTTGCTTTCATTGATTCTTTCTATTGTTTTATTCTTCTCAATTTTATTTATTTCTGCTTTAATCTTTATTATGTCTCTCCTTCTACTGACTTTGGACCTCATTTGTTCTTCTTTTCGAGTTCATTAATTGTGAGTTTAGACTGCTTATATGGGATTGTTCTTCTTTCCTGAGGTAGACTTGTATTGCAATATACTTTCCTCTTAGCACAGCCTTGGCTGTGTCCCACAGATTTTGCGGTGTTGAATTATTGTTGTCATTTGTACCCATATATTGCTTGATCTCTGTTTTTATTTGGTCATTGATCCATTGGTTATTTAGGAGCATGTTGTGAAGCCTCCATATGTTTGTGGGATTTTTCATTTTCTTTGTGTAATTTATTTCTAGTTTCATACCTTTGTGGTCTGAGAAACTGGTTGGTACAATTTCAATCTTTTTGAATTTACTGAGGCTCTTTTTGTGGCCTAGTATATGATCTATTCTTGAAAATGTTTCATGTGCACTTGAGAAGAATGTGTATTCTGTTGCGTTTGGGTGTAGAGTTCTGTAGGTGTCTGTTAGGTCCATCTGTTCTAATGTGTTGTTCAGTGCCTCTGTGTCCTAACTTATTTTCTGTCTGGTGGATCTGTCCTTCAGAGTGAGTGGAGTGTTGTAGTCTCCTAGAATGAATGCATTGCATTCTATTTCCCCTTTTAATTCAGTTAGTATTTGTTTCACATATGTAGGTACTCCTGTGTTGGGAGCATAGATATTTATAATAGTTACTGGATCTGATTTCTAAGCTGCTAGATGTGAGGGCAGCTCCTGTCTGCTATCTGACATGGCCCTCCCCTGGCCGTCACTGAATACGGTGGTTAACAAACAAGCAGACGGTATGGACACTGTGACCAAATGAAGTCCTTTTCAGGGACTGGCTCGTCACTTGTAGATGTGGCAAGGAATGCAAAGTGCAGGCTTAAAATGTGCTCTCAGTGGGTGAAGAGAAGGAAGATATGTTGATTACTTTGATATTGTGCTCTGAAGGAATGGCTCAGAGAGGGGATAGCCAGGCCTGGAGGAAGCATTGATTATAAGAGACCCCGAGCTCTGCTTTAAAATACATGTTTGACTATAGACACACACTCATGTCCCCTATGCTCACTAAAGAGTCACAGTTTAATGTCTTAATACATGGTGGTGAGGGGAGGGGAGGCCATGCCCCCTGAGAGCTTCATTTTCACATGGAATCTTGCCCATGTTCAAGGCCAGTGTATGTTCAGTGTGAAAGTGCACCTTACAAGTAGGGTACAGATCATTAGTCTGTGCCCAGTCAATTCCTGCCAAGCAGGCACCCCCTAGAAGCGAGCCCCCAGATCAAGACACATGACTCCCCAGTACTGAGGAGCCCCACAAGCCCCTGTGTGATTGCCACCCTCTGCGCTCTCCACCGTCCTGACTTCTAACCCTTCTGGAACTTTATACACATGGAATCATGCAACATGAACCCGTGTTTGGCTTCTTTTGCTCAACACAGTGTTTGTGGTGGGGTCATCCAGGTTGTTGTTCATACTTGTTACTGCTGAACAGAGGCCCGTTGTGTCTAGACCACAATCTACTTACCACTCTGCTGCTGCTCAACATCGATCGGGTTCATACCACTATACAGTGACCAGAATGGCTAGATGTGCAGGACAGGGGACAAATGCGGCAAGAATGTGGAGCAAGCAGAACTCTCACATGTTGGCCAATGGGAGCGTGAGTGGATTCAACCTTTGTGGAAAACTGCCTGGCACTGTCTACTAAAGCTGAAACTAGGCATTCAGTGCAGCCCTGCAATTTTACTCACAAGTATTTACCAACACAAAAATGGGTGTATAAGCACACACACTAGAATATTCATAGCTATAATACCCATAATCACCACAGGCTGTGATTTTTCAATGCCCAGCTTTGGCCACATGATGTACCCACACCCCCACCCCCTCACCATCCCTCTGATCTCAGAGAACACAGGCAGCTTGCCTACCGCATGTCTCTCAGCCCTGAGCCCAGTGTTCAGTCTTATCTCCTGGAGTCTGGTGCTC